TCAGTGAACGTGTGTGTAGGCTTACTGTTGAGACTTTAGATAAGGAAAGAGGCAGCAGCAAAGACAGTGCAACAGGGGGTATTAAGGAGACAAAAAAAACAAATAAGAAGACATAAAGAGACAAATAAAGAGTCATAAAAGGCCCAACAAGTAGCTGTCAATGGGGAGGCCGCTGCTCCAGCTTTGAGGACCCCCAGAATCTCGAGGGGCCCCTGAGGGGGCCCTTAGAGGGCCCTTGAGGACACCTTTGGGGGCCCCTGAGGTGGCCCTTAGAGGGCCTCTGAGGAGTTCTTTGCGGGCCCCTAAGGGGCCCCCAAAGGGGCCACGGACGTCCCCTTAAGACCGCCTGATGTCCAGAGGGGCCTCCTTAGGTACCTACAGAGCGTCTGGGGGTAAACCCAGGGGGCCCCCGGGGGCCCCTTTTAGGGTCTGAGGGTCCCTCTTAATAGGTCCCCCCTGAGAGCCCAGGGGGCCCCGTTAGGGACCTCGTAGGGGGCCCCGCAGAGGGACATAGGACCGTCTGTGGGGCCTCACTGAGAGCCATGGGTGCCCCCTAAGTGGCCCCTAAAACAGCCTCTATGAAACATTTTGGAAAACTTTCCAGGTGCCCGCTGGACTCGCCTGCGTCCCGCCCCGTGGGGGTCCCCCGGGGCCCCCCGGGGCCCCCGGAGCATCCCAGGACCCCCCAAGGGAACCCAGGGGCACCCCAAGGGAACCCAAGGGCGCCACGGGGGAACCAAGGGGCCCGCTGGAGGGCACCGTGGGCCCTTGATGGGGCCCCCCGAGACCCTGAAGGTTCTTTAGGTCCTCTGGGGGTCCCCCAACGCCTCCGCTCGTAGGCCAAAGGAGTTTCTAAACTCTAAACCCCAAGCTTTGCGGGTTCATTTTCTTTTAATCTAGATTTAACAATTACACACACCGCAAGAAACGCCACCATGGGGTCCCAGACTGTCTGGGGGCCTCCATAGGCCTTAAGGCCTTCTTGGGGGCCCCCTGAGGCCCCTAGCAAGAAGGGGCCTTATTTAATATTAAGTGTAATTAAAACAACTGAAGTCTATTTAACAACAACTAGGCGGCCTTTATGCAGTGCTGCTTGGGGCCCCCCATCGGGGGCCCCCAAGCAGCTATTTGGGGGCCCCCCCAGGCTGCAGCTGCTCTGGGGCCCCCATGTTGTTTATCCCCTGCTATCCCTTCAGTGTTTAATCGACAAATTAGTTAATTAATTTATTATTTTTCCCGAAATTTATTCACCCTTTTAGTGCCTTCTTGCTCACCTACCCGGCAACAAAGCCCCCGGACCCCCCAACAATTTAGGGTTTACGGCTCACCGTTTACAGTTTAGGGTTTAGGGTTTAGGGTTTAGGGTCTGGGGCCCCCCTGCGGCGAGCCTAGCCATTCTGGGCCTTCTCCCGTGCAAGCCAGGGATCTTTTTAGGGCCCCCCGGGGGCCCCTCAGCACGGGGGCCCCCCAGTGCTCTTGAGGGGCCCCCAGGGGCCCCTCGTGCCCGTGGGTTCTAGGTGCCCCCCGGGGTCCCCAGAAAACTTTGAGGGTCTCTAGGGGCCCCCAGAGACTCCCAGGGACCCCAGGGGCCCCCAGGGACTGACGAGGGCCCCAGGGACCCCCAGGAACTCCGGAGGGCCCCCAGGGGGCCCCAGACCCCCCTGAGGGCCCCCAGGAGCCCCCAAGGAGCGCCCAGGGCCCACAGGGGCCCCCAGAGCCCTTCTTCAGGGGCCCCGGGGTCCCCTAGGGTCCTCTTCTTGGTCCTGGAGGGCCCCGAGGCAAAGTTAGGAGACAGTATGTTTTTTGCATTTAGCACTCTGGGGGCCCCCTAGGGAGACAGTACACTTATTGCATTCAGGGCCCCAAGGGCCCTCTTAAAAGAGAGCCTTCATTTTGTACTTAGGGGCCCCTGGGGGCCCCCTAGTAGGTAGTACCCATTTTGTGTCGGGGGGCCCCGGGGGCCCCCAAAAAAGATAAGAACTTAATTTGGTCCTGGGCCCCAACATGGGGAAGTTGTCTCTTTTCTTTTCGACTCGTCGGGGCCTCGAGGGGCCCCTTTTGAGGGAGCTGAAGGCCCTGCCTTGCTTGGCAGCTGCCCAGCCAGCAGCAGCAGCAGCAGCAGCAGCAGCAGCAGCAGCAGGTGAAGCAGCAGGAGCCCCCCGCCTGCTCATGAACCCTGGGGGGGTGCTGCTGCAGCAGGTGGGGCCGCAGCTGGTGCAGCAGCTCTGCTGCGGTGTACGTACAGCTGAGTGCGTGTGGCTGCGGCTGTGGGGCCCCCAGCGCTGCAGCAGCAGCGAGCATTTGCTGCTGCTGCTGAGGCGCACGAATTGGAAAAAGGTGAGAAGCAGCGCAGCAGCAGCAGCAGCAGCAGCAGCAGCAAAAGAGTCTAAGGCCCCCAAGGGGTCCA